CTGGTTGGTGGTCTGGGCAAGCAGACTATTGGAGCCGGCTGCTCTCAGCCTGACGTATAAATCACACCCTGGTTGATCAGGCTTAACCACTACCAGAATATTCAGCTTTATCAACTGTGACAAACCACTAAATCGTTCACTTGAGTATTTACAGTTTCACATTCAATAATGTAAAGATTTTGAAGTATGTAAGTATTTAATGGAATCTGGTATATTAGAAGACATCCTAACCATTTATCCTAAATTTGCTTGTCCATATTAACAAATGACGAAAGCTGCATTTACAATATATAATATATATAAATAAATATAAATATATATATATATAATGTATTAGATTGTATCTTTAGGAAATATATAAGTGCTGGAATCTACAATTTAGACCTATTGAAATAAGTTTATTGATGTAAAATACACACAAAGGGATGAGGTAGCTCAAGCTATTCTCACCCCGTTCAGTACATCGTGTTAATACATAGACACACAATTTCGACCTATTGTCTTGTGTATGATCCTGTGTTGTGTGGCAGTGAATACGAGCAGCACCTCACTCTAAATATGACCTAAATGAATTATTCTGATTAGGCAAAATTGTGTATTTTGTTAATAAAGATAATGAATATATTTCCTCTTGAAGAACTGCATTGTGCATGGATTGAAAGATTGTATATGACACGTATATGTATATGTGTATATATATGTATGTATATATATATACACCGTGGAATGGCTTGGTCAGTGGAAGCCTGGTTTAACACATATATGAATAAGTTTGGGTGAATATATAGGAGTTGCCTCAAATGGGTCAGTAGGCCTTTTGCCGTGTCCTCAGTTATGTTCTATGCCTCATCAGTCATGGCTACGCCAACTTGGGCAAAGTTTATCTTCTGCCGCTGTGATTGGCTGTCTTAAATGTGTTATAATAGTACTTGTATTAACTAATTAGCCAGAGTGTATGTGACCAACCAGATCAACCAACCAGGTATCAACCAGACCAATATGTAGTGACAGGCCTGACGACTGAGTGGACAGCACTCGGGATTCGTAGTCCTAAGGTTCCGGGTTCGATCCTCGGCGGAGAAGGAAACAAATGGGCAGAGTTTCTTTCACCCTCATGCCCCTGTTCCCTAGCAATAAATAGGTACCTGGGAGTTAGACAGCTGCTACGTGCTGCTTCCTGGGTGTGCGTAACAAAAAGAAGGCCTGGTCGAGGACCGGGCCGCGGGGACGCTAAGCCCCGAAATCATCTCAAGATAATGGACCACCAGTAAACCACTTTCTGTACTATTAATTTGATGAAGTGCGAAAAAATAAAGCTAAAACCAAACTTAAATATTCCTAGGCCTAATATAGCACTTATATGTACTATAGTAGGCCTTACTATAGCGTGAACTAGACCAAGGATTGTTAGGAAAGGTTAGGTTAGGACTTATATTTGTGCTGTAGTTAAAAGAGTTTCCGGTTTGTCCAAATAAAATAATTCAAAAAGGCATCATTCTGGTGGTCCATCACCACATATTGGTATCATCTACCAAAGAGTTACTATATGTACTGTACTTTAATTTTAAGAGGATAGGCTGGTTTATGTTGTTTGTCCAGCGTGGAGTGAACGCTGGGAGGGGTGGGAGGGCGAGCGTTGGGATGGGAAGGGTGGGTGGATGGGAGGGGGATGGGTGGGTGGAAGAGCTGGTGTCTGGATGGGAAATATTGCTGTAGTACATGAAAAGTTTAGCCTGTGTTCATAAGCGTGAGAATAGTAGTTATGCTAATACGATTGATGTCATTATTTCTCTCTGTACATTACACATGCCACAACACACAACACACCACACATGCACTTCAACTTACACATTACAGAACACTACAAAATATAGAGTAAAACATTGTAACACTGCCGCGCACACAAACTAAATTTCCCTTGCAAGACCTGCGTTAAAAATGCAACATAATAAAACTGTCTTCCCGCCCCACCCTCCATTACCCGCTCCCCCTCCCCTCCCCCCCCCTCCAGACACGACCCCACCCCCCGCCCCCTCGCGTCAAAAATATGATCTAGGATGCCCGCCAAGCCACGATCGCCCTTGGATAAGACCCGGGATATATGCCCAAGTTTAAGGGTTTCTAAATTTATTTTATCATGCACGCATTCCTACAAGCGTGGTGTTGCACGATCATGCACGTACACACACATGGTCACACATGCATGCATGCATGCATGCATGCATGCATGCATGCATACATACATACATACATACATACATACATACATACATACATACATACATACTGCATGTTCTACTCGTTGTTCAGTATCTACCTCTAGTCATGCATACCCAAGTGTTGAAATTCATGCACCACACCAGACCCACCTTATATAAATATGTGCAGTACAAAGCTGTGGGCCTTCTGCAGTTTTATTTCAGCTTGCATTCTCTAGAAAGACGAACATTAAGGATATGTCTGAATAATGTATAAACGGGTCAAAGAGTATCTCAAACGGATATAAATAGGACTCTAAATATATCAACACAAAATAGTACACGAAACAATGGATATAAATTGGGCGAGTTTAGATTCGGTATAAAGACCGGGGTAAATACTGGTTTGGAAACAGGAATTGTTGATTAGTGGAACAAATTGCTGGTTAACATAATAGACGTGGGCTCGGTCTATTGTTCCAAGAGTAGGTTAGACATGAGCGAGTTCGGGTGGATATAAATAGAAACTGCATCGTTACGGGCCAATAGGTCTTCCATAGATTACCTTTATTCTCATGTTCTTGTGTGTTCTTGTACATAGATGAATACAGACTCCGCTGCCATTATATAATTTATCCTAAAATCTTTTGTGATCAACAAAGCAATCTCGCCCTTCACCGCTCTCATACCAGGTGTCATTTTTAAATGCCGCATATTGTCCAGAGGACAATATTTACATACTCAGATTTGGCAACACAAGATCAATTATTGTTAATAAACTTTACTCCTAAAAAATACAACATACAACATTAACACGAAATGAAATGTAGATTACAGTGAAAACAAATATATATACGACAGATTATTGCCTCTGGGTATGGACTCAACCCACAAGTGTGGACTAAGCTTGTAGAGTCCAGGAAGGACCCACACGCACCCACTTGCATTCCATATGCGGGTTGAGGTGACTGGTTTTCAGTTGCGTAATTGTGACGTATTCTCAGCACATGTTGCCGCCGCCACACACGTGTCTTCACACACCTGCTGGATGAGTACACTACAGAATACTAACTTGAGTGTGTGGGTGGCCGAGAACATGTAGGCTTTACGGGAAGTGAATATAAAGACGAATTTATTTCCAGCATCAAAAAAAAAAAAATACAAGATACATAAGGAATGGGGTTATTGTATTTACACACACAATATAATATTTACAATTGGTAAAACACACACACACCACTGGGAGCTGGTGGCTGAGTGGACAGCGCTCTAGGCTCGTGGACCTAGGGACCGGGGGTTTGATCGCTGCAGCCGGCGGTAACAGATGGGTAGAATTTCCTTCACTCTAATGCTCTTGTTACCTAGAAGTAAATAGATACCTGGGAGTTAGACAGCTTGATTGATTGATGGATGAAGATTAGTCCACCCAAGAGGTGGCACGGGCATGAATAGCCCGTAATTAGACAGCTGCTACGGGTTGCTTCCTGTGTACTCACCTAATTGTGCTTGCGGGGGTTGAGCTCTGGCTCTTTGGTCCCGTCTCTCAACTGTCAATCAACTGACGTACAGATTCCTGAGCCTACTGGGCTCTATCATATCTACACTTGAAACTGTGTAGGGAGTCAGCCTCCACCATATTACTTCCTAATGCATTCCATTTGTCAACCACTCTGACACTAAAAAAGTTCTTTCTAATATCTCTATGGCTCATTTGGGCACTCAGTTTCCACCTGTGTCCCCTAGTGCGTGTGCCCCTTGTGTTAAATAGCCTGTCTTTATCAACCCTGTCGATTCCCTTGAAAATCTTGAATGTGGTGATCATGTCCCCCCTAACTCTTATGTCTTCCAACGAAGTGAGGTTCAATTCCCGTAGTCTCTCCTCGTAGCTCATACCTCTCAGCTCGAGTACTAGTCTGGTGGCAAACCTTTGTGTGTGTGTGTGAAATTAGTTAGTAGTTAGTAACAGTTGATTGATTGACAGTTGAGAGGCGGGTCCGAAAGAGCAGAGCTCCACCCCCGTAAGTACAACTGGGTGAATACACACACACACACACACACACACACACACACACACACACACACACACACACACACACACACACACACACACGAACGAACGAACTCTTGCACGCCCACACTGTCAAAATTACAGACATTCTGCGGTACACTTCAATGCAAGAAATGACTGCGGGCCTTAACATTCATGCTTGTAACTGCCACAGTAAATCACACCACAGAGCAAATTAGTGCACACCTTACAAAGGAATATTTTAATTCCTTCAGTGTTTTTCCTGTTTCCCTCCTCCATCATCAGAGGAGCACAATAGTCCCGGGTGAAGCCAGATGGCCATCAGTCACCGTACCTGTGGTTATGGTACCACCTCCCCTGTACCACACCAGGCCCCTCGTGGGGGTTGGGCCACGCTGGGATGGTACTGCAGGACCGTCGTGGGGTTGGGCCACGCTGGGGCTCCGGTAATACACTGGCCGTTCACAGTACATCATCTTTAATTACGGAGCGAGGTTCTGGGTACATTGAGCTGTGTCAGCGGCGATTGGTTACATTCATCACTATGGGTGGGGCAAGAGGTCTGGGTAACGTGTTATCCATTCTTCTTGCTCTTTGGTGTATAGCCCAAATCAGATAAATCTGGTGTAAATCACCAAAATTTGGTTTGGTGTAAATCAGATAAATCACGTATATTTACGCTGGCTGTGCGCTGAAATTAAATTAGTTAACCACAAAATATATTTATATTTGGAAGTTTTCTTACAATTTTAATCCGTTTTCTTCTCTTCCAGTGTGGGTATACTGCACTGCAGCGGGCGTCGTGCGAGGGCCACATCGACATCGTCCGTCAGCTTATAAAACACAACGCAAACGTCGACCATCAGGATGACCAGGTTAGTTAAGGGAACAGTGTTGCATAATCATACTCGCTTTTATGTACTGTATAAAAACCTGAATTAACTCTTATGGGTTAATATTATTTGCGTATATTTAGGTGATAAAAGCTGTAATGCGTAATTAATAACATTAATTAATTTACCCTAATTTCTTTGATATGTGTGTCCTCCCCTAGTTGTGGTTGCAGGGGTTGAGCTCTGGCTCTTTGGTCCCGCCTCTCAACTGTCAGTCAACTGGTATTTGTGTGTGTGCGCGGTCTTAAACGTGTGTGTTTCTAGTAGCCTATCCACCCTAGCCGCACGAAGGCATTAACCGCGGTTCATATCTTCAGCACGGGAACACGGCGCTGCACGAGGCCGCCTGGAAAGGCTACAGCCAGACGGCGGAGGCGCTGGTGAGGGCCAAGGCCAACGTCTACATCAAGAACAAGGGAGGGTTCGCGCCCCTCCACCTCGCCTGCCAGAATGGTCACAACCAGACGTGCCGGGTACTGCTCCTGGCAGGGTGCAGGCCAGACATCAAGAATAACGTGAGTATCCTTCACCTCCTGAAGGCTGGTAGGCTCATTAGTGGGTATTTAAGACTTGTTTCGGTTTTGGGGGTCTTAAGTCGGATCACCTTATCGCTGGTTCACAATCATGTCGGTGACTTTTGGAGTAATTATATTTCTTGAGGGTTAATATTCAATAGCTTGCAGTGTTAAGCTGCATGTATACATTACGGGGGAGGGGGGGGGGACGGGTATTTGGTAATATGTGTATAATGTGTGTAATATGTGTGTGGTGTTGCAGTACGGGGACACCCCACTACACACCGCTGCCCGCTACGGTCACGCTGGGGTCACCCGCATCCTCCTCTCCGCCAGGACCCAGGTCGGGGAGATGAACAAGGTAAGGTCTACCACGCTATACACGCGTCCTTGTATGTGTGAGGCACTGAGCTTGGTGTGTGGCTGTATGTGTGAGGCACTGAGCTTTGTGTGTGGCTGTATGTGTGAGGCACTGAGCTTGGTGTGTGGCTGTATGTGTGAGGCACTGAGCTTGGTGTGTGGCTGTATGTGTGAGGCACTGAGCTTGGTGTGTGGCTGTATGTGTGAGGCACTGAGCTTGGTGTATGGCTGTATGTGTGAGGCACTAAGCTTGCTGTGGTTGTATCATTCACTCACTAAAAACTAAAGCTGTAAACATTAGTGAAATACCATCTATGGTATACAAGAGTGCCTCCCTTGCCCTTGCGCCACCCATAGCTCTGCTGCTCAACAAATCGCTATTGTCATACCTTCCCTGATATCCTTAAAAAATAAAACACGAGAAACGCCAGTTCATAAATTAGGCAATACGACAGACATAAACAATTACAGACCAATATCAAATCTACCTATATTTTCAAAAGTACAGTATTTGAAAAAATTATTTACAAACAGCTCTACTCCTACCTCGTAAAATTCAACATACTAAGTCCCTGTCAGTTTGACTTCCGCTCCCAAAAGAGTACCATCAATGCAATTATTGTCTGCTTGATATAATCTACACAGCCCTTGACAAAAATGAGTGCCCGATTGGACTCAACATTGACTTGAGAAAGGCCTTTGATACTGTTAACCATAACTACCTCTTTAAATGCCACCATTATGAATTCCATGGCCTTGCCCTGAACTATATTCGATCCTATCTTAGCGACAGACACCAATATGTAGCTATCAATGATATAACCTCTTCCACTCTACCATTAACCATAGGAGTGACACAGGGCAGCATCCTAGGACCTTTCCAATTTCTTGTATACATCAATGATCTACCTAATGTGTCTATCATTCTTAAACCTATATTATTTGCTGGCAATACTACTCTCATGTATTTAGACCCCCAACCCACGCATACTAATTAATGTTGTAAATAACGAATTGAAAAGAGTCCACTTGTGGATGTCAACCAACAAACTCACAGTAAACATAGAAAAGACCTACTACATATTATTTGGAAGCAAATCAACAATGCAATTCAGTTTCAGACAGACAATGTTAACATCAGCAATAAATACAAATGATGGAAAGTTCCTTGGCCTATACCTAGACAAGAGACTCGACTTCAGCACCTACATACAACACATAACCAAGAAAGTCTCAAAAACAGATGGTATACTCTCTAAAATCAGATATTTTGTTCCAAACTCTGCTCTCCTCTCACTATACTATGCGCTAATCTAACCCTATCTTACATACGGTATCTATGCATGGGGTTCAACCACTGAGCTTGGCGTGTGGTTGTGTGAGGCACTGACCTTGGTGTGTGCTAGTATGAGGTACTAACCTTGGTGTGTGGTTGTCGTTGACAGAACGGGGACACGGCTCTACACATCGCAGCAGCCATGGGCAGGAGGAAGCTGACCAAGATCCTGCTGGAGTCTGGTGCTGACCAAACCGTCAAGAACAAGGTGAGAACACCTAAGCTACAACAATGTGACACTATAGCAATATGGACATACTGTAATTAGCGTCAGTATTAATAATACTAATATCAACATTAAATCTATAGAAGCTTTAGCATATTTCTAGCAAATGTTAACAGTAGCAAAGTGTTAGCAATAAAACACCAAATATTAATCTTCAACTATATAGTGCTCTTGTTAGGCCAGGTTTAGATTATGCAGTTCAGTTTTGGTCCGCACATTATAGAATATAAATAAATTCATTAGAACGAGCCCAGTGGAGGATGACAAAATTAATCTCATAAATTAGAAACCTTCCATAGGAAGAGAGATTGAAAAAACGTCATTTACATTCTCTAGAAAGGCAAAGAGCAAAGTGGCATGATTAAATGAATGGGAATAACAGATTGGATATCAATAAGGTATTAAACACAAAATAGAGCACGAAACAATTATTTAAATTTAATAAGTTTAGATTTAGGAAAAACTTGGGTAAATGCGGGTTTTGAAAGAGGGTTGTTGATTTGTGGAACAAATTATCGGGTAACATACAGGATGTAAATAAGAGCTGCCACCTAAGAGCCAGTAGGCCTTTTGCAGTTTCCTTAATTCTTGTGTTTTTTTATGTTCTTAAATACAATATCAATATTAAACCCATTAATATCGTATTAAACATATTAATATCAATATTAGTTACAATAAAGTTATTAATGACAATCCCATTAATAGCAATATTGTAAATGACAAAAAAGTCAAAGGGGTAGATGGTGCAGTAATTGTGGTCACAGCAATGACGATAACATCATCCATTCCCGGCAGCAAAACGAGGCACCTGGAGACATCGCCAGACGCAAGGAGTTCGACCAGATCCTGGAGATCCTCAGGAACCCCCCACCAGTAGTGTCCCCAGAGGAGCGCCTCCGCCGGGAGCAGGAGCAGAAGAAGAAGGAGGCTAAGGAGGCGAAGAACAAGGGCGCAGCAGCAGTAGGGAAGGGGGCAGGCAAGGGAGACAAGAAGAGAGGAAAGACAAATGACAGCGGCACCTCAAGTAAAGACAGCAGCACCAGGGCCAAGGAGAAGAAGAAAGTAAGGTCATCATGCTTCTTCTAGTTACATTGTTTTCTTTATTGTACTCATCTTTGGTGATTGGTTGGTTATATTTGTGTTTTCTTCTTGTTTGCAAGTCTTGCATGAGTGGTAGAAATACCAGGGATCCCAATATACCTTACTGGGATAAAGATAGTCTAAAATGTGACTCGTCAGGTTACATGACATGTGCAGTACCAGTAATGACCTAGAAGCTGTTACATCCACCCAGAGACCGACCCACATTCACACCCACACCCAGACACAGCACGACAACAACATATACCCCCTGTGTACCATAACTGGTTTTGTTCTGTCTGTAGCACAAGTCTGACCACAAGGAAAAGCGTCGAGGGAAGCAGGTGCAGTGGTCGCCGTATGGGTGTCAGTACTTCCCTCCCACCACACCCCAGGAACTCGCCACTCCTAACATCGACTCCCTGCCCAAGGACCCGCTCTCCAAGGGCGAGCAATACTTCATCGACCTCGCTGGCAACATCAAGAAGGTGAGTCTTGTGCTGGTGGTCTCAGAGGGGAAGGATGTAGTGGCTCTTTAGCTTAAGTTTTCCTTTAGCTGTAATGTAGAAAAATCACAAGTATTTACTTAAATGTAGTCTGTGAGTGTAGATAAATTAAAATACAATCACATAGATCTCAATAGGGTTACTGTAACACACTTCTCACTTATTTGCACATTCATGTTCACCTTCCCCTTCTACCCATTTATTTTTACTTTTAACTGCTCTCATTATTAACAGAACAATACATATTTTCTCATTTTTCCTCCCATTCCTTTTCAACATCACCTACCCCAATTACATTCATTGCTCTGGCTTGTGGTCCCTGTGTGTTTTTCAGGTCCACATGCTGTCATTCAGCTTAGACTGATCAATACAGCAATGGCTTCATTAATTGCAGATTGGTGTTCAATTCCTTTGGTCCATTTTGCTGGACACCATTCTCCCATTCTTTCATATCCCTTCCAATTTCCTCATATCCCTTCTAATGTCCTCATATCCCTTCTAATATCCTTATACCCCTTCTAATATCCTTATACCCCTTCTGTTGTCCTCATATCACTTCCATGTACCCTATACAGTAGTCGTAATGGCTTAGCATTTTCTCTTGATAATAATAATAATAATAATAATAATAATAATAATAATGTTTATTCAGGTAAAAGTACATACATGCAAAATGAGTTCCAAACAGAATGTTGGATTTTTAGATAGAGCTAGTATATACTATGCATAAAGCCACTAATACGCACAGCGTTTTGGGCATAGCTGGGCCAAGATAATTTGCTTACGTCACCCTCAGGGCCCCGTGGGCATAGGCTACACCTGCTACTGCGCGCCCTTTTTCAAGAACGTCGAGGATAAGCTGGAGAAAGACAAAGTCGCCCTCATGGACCACATTGACGCTGCCCACGACAAACTCGATGCCAAGATCACCAACCTCGAGCACCGTACCAAGTCTCACATTCAGCACCTGAGCAACAACGTCAAACAGAAGGTGAGTTATGAGTAGCCTGTAGTTATTAGTGACCTATAGTTACTTGTGGTCTGCAGTTATGAGTGACCAGTAGTTATGAGTGGTCGGCTGGCCATTCTAACCATTGCGGGTTTTAACCTGCACTAACCCCGACCAGCTGCAAGTTATTAGCTTTAGGTAGTGGGTAGGTTTTGGTACTGACCAGCTGTGAGTGCTGAATAGTGAATTTTTACCAGTAGGTTCATGGGGCATTGATAAGTAGACTAGTGGGGTATAGAAAAATTTTAAATGCAAACTTTAACTTTCATTTTCCTTCTCATAACTAAATCGAAGTGGAGTCTACACTATTAAATTATCTTTAATTAATGTTATAATTAATTATTAGAAAAGTTATTCGTAAATGTTTTTATATTTATTATCAGGATCATATATTTGTGAAACTATCAGTGGACATAGTTGATGAACACAATATCGACACATGTAATATTAATATTACATATTAATATCAATATTCGGTTAGTCAACCAAGCACATGTGCATTGTATATATATGAATGATGATGATAAAGGTCGGGGATTGAATGCCGACCTGCATAAAGCGAGACCGTCGCTCTACCGTCCAGCCCAAGTAGTTGGAGAAGATGACGGGAGACATCTCCCGTCACACAGGGTGCAGTCGCACCTCCACAGATCTCCAATGGCTCAAAAGGGCCACCACTTACGGGCTATTCATGCCCGTGCCACCTCTTAGGTGGCTTAATCTTTATCAATCAATCAATTGGAGAAGATGACGATAATGTGATATCTCCCTTATAATATGTCAACTGGAGGTAATGCCATCTTGGTAGTACTTAATTAACATAGTTTTCAATATTTGATATGACAGAATAATACAAGTGTTTCTGTTTATGATTTCAGTCTACACAGCATATACTTTCATCACATTTATTTAACTTTATCTACTTGAGGTGAAATACCCCGTACAGCATGGATATGTGCCACTATTTCAAGATTTGTTTCAATTTGCATGAAATGGCAAATAATTTTATTGCAATGTAAGTTTAAATCTATTTCTAACTGGCTCAACATTCACTCAGTATAAGAGGTAATTCTCTAGTATCTTTGTTCATACGCTCTACATTTCATGTCATCTAGATCTTTGTACTAGATGAACTGCCAAAGATACTTGTAGCGTAGCCAAGTCTTGTTAGAGTTGACCATGTTTTTTTAGTTTCTGATTTTGTTACTGAGAATATCCTATGATCATGTGTTATATTTGCTCATGGAATTCAGTTATTTTAAGTGGTACCCCAATAAATTTAAAACTAAATTTACTAAATAATTTTAAGTTATTGAAGCCATATGCATAATTATTGGCTTTAATACATTGTATGATTAATGTACCTACTAAGTAACCACTGTAACATATTCTTTTATATATGTTGTAAATATAATAATGATAATAATAATAATGTTATATAGCACTAATGCTGTACCTGCTTACTTCAACAGCTTGCAGAGGAGAAAGAGGAGTGTCGGCAGCGTACAGAACGGACCACTACCATGCGGGAGTTGCAGGCAGATGCTCGGGTAACACAGCTACAGCAGTGGATGGAGCGACGACTGGCAGCCCGAAACACAGTGCATCCACCCACAGTCAACCCCAGGACCTGCATCTTCAGGGGCTCCGTCAGGAGAGCCAGGGATCCACTCACAGGATTGTTTCCTCTTACCAGGTGAGTCAGACTTTGCTCATGCCTTCCCATGTCCTCATCTTTATCAGGGCCACTGTTGATATATGGCAGGAAGTTTTTAATTTGATGTTAGTTTTTGATCATTTAATATAAAAAGGGATTAGAAAGCAAATGCCATCGGGCAGAAAATTCCACTAATAAGGATAGTGAGATGAAAGGTATATATATTTGAGTCAGCATGCAAGAAAATGTGCAAGTTTCTGAATTTATATTTCCCAGATCACGGTCAGAGGAAGCAGTGTCGGAGTACCGAGAAGACGGAGAGAGTGACCGTGAATCCGTTTACAAGGGATTGAGAGTACTCGATCATCCGACCTCTATGTATAACATCCCACAAAACATTCAGGATGAAGCTGACATAGTCATATATGATTCCCCCAAACCTATTCCCTCCCTGGTGCCAGGAGTCCTCCGCTGTCCCTCGCCAACCGACCATCCTTCTAGGAGCCTCTCGGCTGAGAGCCGAGGCTTTGCACACAACCCCAGAGGGCCTGCAGGCCGCAGTCACTCACTAGATGCTCGCAAGGTATTATGCGATTCCCAGAACCCACTAGACAAGCGGATCTCAACTGATAGAGCTCAAGAGCAGAGTCCTACGAGAATACCACCCAATAGAGATATGTTAAATGACTCTGTGAGCAGCGATATGTCAGCTGGTAGGCGAGGAAGCAGAAGTAGCAGAGGAATAAGTGGATCTTCTATTCACGGCTCCCCAATGGTCACCAGGATGAGTCGATACTCCCCTGCTCAACCATCATCCCTTCTATGCCATACTGATATATCACAACCTGATGCTCCCCATGGCAGACCTTCACCCTTGCACCATACAGACCTCAACCAAGCAGTCGACAATCTCAGAGTCTCTCAATCTCAAGCTGAAAATGGCGCCATACCAAAGACATACGGACGTTCTGAGGCGGCAGATGATGGGGACAATGGTGATGTAAGCCAGGTCCACCAGCCACAAGGATGGAGTGGCTACAGTCGCTATGACTACCGTAATACTAACCCATATATGCATGGAGACCTACGGGGTCGCAACCCATTAGTTCATCCACCTCACATAGCCAGTGCCCCTGCAGAACCTAAGATGAGTAAGCCAGGGTATGAGACTTACTCACAATATGCAAAATACCCTTCTACTCCAGAAGAAGGTCAAACTGCAGAGACATACCACGCTCATCTGGCACAATCACAAGAGGACTCTGATGCGACAGCATACTTAGACATGGACAGGTAAATTGATTGCAAGCTGTGAAATGTTTTCTTTTTGTATTTTTCAGTACTGTACTGTACTTGTATCTTACTGGAAATATTAAAATAAATTCAGTAGCTTATATAATATAATCATAGCTTGTATTTTTCTGAGGTATAAGCTTATTTCAGTTTAACACGTTTATCTTAACTACGACTGATGTTCTCCTTTGGCTTACAGGTACAGAATCCAGCAGGCAGTGAGGCGGCTGTATGATGGGTACCTGGCTGAGGGTCACCTGGAGGCTGTAAGAGGTGCAGGGAGAAATAACCTAGAGGTGTCCACCGAGCACGACTCTCATAATGACTCTGGATATTCTACCAGACTTTGCACTGGCTCCCAGGGACCATCGCCAGCTCTCTCTGGTAAGCACCCTGCAAGTTACCAACCAATGGAACTACCAGCACTTGGGTTCTATCAGTATTGGTGATCATTACTGGATATTTCTAAATACTCTATGATACTTTCTGATAGTGTGTTTTCTTGTAAACTTGAAAGTTTTTAATTATTAGAATAATTGTTATACATTTTGAATCGTTACATTTGCTTTGGCGAGAAAATCAATTGGAGCAATGCAGGGATTCGAACCCTCAAACTGGGTACTCTTGAGCCATGTACCTTACCTGTGAATCATAACATTTGAGGAGGCAGATGAATGTACAGTACAAGTCATACAACCTGTGATTCCACTGACTCCACAGGACATCTGGAGGTCCCTACTGAAGCTGGTCCAGGTTTTACATATAACCCCCATGCATTCCAGTTTCAAATATTCAAGAAAATCACACTAACCTTATGTATTTGCTTTTGTATTATTTCAGGTATGTAGTGAAACGAGTTTGATAAAGCTTGGTTGTAGCAGCAAAGTGGTCTGTATCAATACCTCAATCACACCTCATGATTGTATAACAGATTTATAGTGAACTGAGTTGAATAAATTGAAGTGTGATAAAGTGTTGATATGACCTACTTGGCTGCTACAACCAAACTTTGTTCAACTCGGATCACTTATACATTTTAATATTGTAACAAATATTTAAGAATTTGTACAGTTCTTTGCATTTTAATAATGTAACTAATATAGTACTGTATGTTTCCTGTAATTTTTCCCCTGGAACAGGTGGACATGATGTCCAGTCAGAGGGTGAGTTTAAACATATGGCAGCATCTGCATCAGAGCCCAGTAGACACCACTCGTATGGTGAGTCTCAAAAGCAGGACACCAGCAGACACCCACGCAGGGAGCCAACCTACCCAGGAGCTCCTGCAATACGTTACACCAATGGTCTTCCATCAGCAGGCACCCAGCTCTCCACCACCACCACCACCACCAGGTTCTCCACACCACACTTGGGTAGCGACACCGTCATCATCGGAGAGTCCTCACTTGTTTGATTCTAGCCAAATGCAGTCAGTGACTTAATAATTTTACAATCCTACAAAATGTGAAAATGTTAATAACAATGGAATGCAATATAATGCATTGTGTAAAAGTGTTCCTTATTAGTTATTACTAAACAGGTGTCAAAAGAAATAAAAGTAATGTGTGAATGATACAGCTATGTATTTACCAAAGGAAGAGTACTTAAGCTTGGGTTCTGTGCTGGTGTCATGAAACATGCAGACAAGCCTTCACTCATGTACAGTATATATTGTTTGTAGGTACCAGCCATTGAAGGAGTCTATGAATGTACAGTGTAAATAAGAATTTATATACAGTATATCTTTATATAAATTGAGCTGTAATGTAACTTGCATAACTGTGTATATGTATATTTTAAAACTATGCTCATGAAGATGCCTAAAATTCTTTATGATATAAGATTTAAGAAAATTATGTACCTGACATAATTGTAACTGCCTTAATGTAAATTATCTATGAAGAATAAGATTTATAGCATACTGTAAATGTTAACATTATAATTTTGTTACTGGTACAAATTTCTCCCAAATGTGAATACTCATTATGAATACCAGAAGCCCTTGCTAGCACTGCATCACTCGTCACAATATTCCTTTAACACTGTCATCACTGAACACTAGTAATATAATATTTGCCAAAACAGTTATTGTCACTAAATACAAATTCTTCAATATTCCTACAACCGTCAGTACTGAAGACTGAAAATACAGTACAATATTTCTACAATTCACATGTATTGTACAATGTACAGTGAAGACTATTTTCATTAACTTGTAAAAACCCAATAACTATTAACAATACAGATTTCAGCACATAATTATTAGTTACATGTAGCAAGATCAGTGGATACCTGAATGTGAAGGCATAACACTTTGTATGGGATTTAGGGTTTTTATTGTTTATTTATGCTATACAGGTGTATTAATGTTGTACTAAAGGCCACTTTATAACCTTCTGGTGTGTGATCAGTGTCTTGAGACACATCTGCCTCTTGCAGTGACTTAGTTCTCTTACAAGTCATGACCCAGCACCTGCACTCGGCCTCACAACAAATTAAAATAATTATTTTTATTGCCATATTATTATTATTATTATTCTCTTAAACAGCTTCTCATAAGTTCAACTAATTCAATCTTAGGCTCATATTGAGTGACCTTTATTCACTGTTATAATAAATGCCAAATGTTCATAATTTCAAAGTACAGTACTGTATCAGGAAAGGAGAATAGTGATAAGTTACTGCAGTACACATTGCTTATTAATGTCTTGTGTCTTGACCTTCTGTAGTGACCTTGACTCTGGTGCAGTTGAAACTTCTGACTGAACATTTTGTTTACTGTGACTTCATTTATACTAAAACAAATTCATTGATATTAACCCATTGGTTATCTAGAAAATTAAATACTTTTACCTAAAAAATGAGCTAACTCCAAGAGCCCCACTAGTGACTTCATTAGCAATTTGTACAACATAAAACTTCATGGCTCACAAAATCTGACTGTGCTTTGAGGACTCAGAACTAACAGGAGACTTCTAGATTAATTCAAATTAACAATCTCCACCACCCACTAGAATCATACCTTTAGAATCATTGGAAATACAGGTGGTCCTTGACTTGTACTGGGGATACATTCATGTTAAAAATGTTTAAACAAAAAAGTGCCAATAAAATTGAAAGGTAAATGGGGAAAATAAGGTTAGGTTCAAAAGAACTACAAAAGTCAGAAACCCATGTTTTTTTTCACTCTTAACTTGATAAGATTCCTGTGTGAACATTTAATGCTCCTCCACTTACCAGCCACAAGTAATCATACATAATGATGTCCAGAAAGTTTGGAAAGTACAATGTTGCAAGAATATATTGTAAATATCAGAATTAATTAATCATCACTTAACTCGAATACCATAAAAATTGAAATGTGTATTTTGAAACTTGGTATAACAGCGCTTACTCATGTACTGTACCAATGAAATCTTCAACAGTTATAAGATAGGCAAATGTTGCTAGGTTCCCAGCCATGTTGATGCTGCCTCTAAGGACATCACACACACACACCACTGCTAAAGAAGCATTTATCCTCTCAATAAAATCCTTCATGAATCCGGTACCTTCGTCATATTTCATCTCGAGTATTTTTGCGTTTGTATTTACATCTTAAATGATACCTGGGAATACATCAGTGTTCTGTGACACAGACTATACTACTATCTTTTAATAATTACTGTTCTTACTTATTTACGCATGTACTACTAAATCCGTGTTCCCCAATGCCATGCAATCAAGGCCACCCCAAGAACTGCACTGATAAACGTGATAAAACATAACTGCGGTTCATGTCTGCTTGGTTAATCATTGTGGGTATCTTAACTATTAAGGCAATGCTGGATGGAAATCCACAGATCACTCAGCCATTTGCAATACAGTATTACCAGAGAAGTGAGAGTGCACTTCCAAGCAGACCCTTAATGCTAGGAGTGCACCTCTAGTACTAGAAGTATTACAGTGTTTGTAGTATACCATAACATCCACTGTATAGCAGTGATATAAACAGGCCAGTGTTTTTAATATAATTTAATGCTAAACATTTACACATGCAGGGGTCATAAAGATGCTAGGAGTATGCTGGAAATACCACTGCACTCCATCAGTTTAGACTCTAGCCAGAACAAGTTCTCAGGAACAATAGGAGGACCTTTGACAAGATAGTGGGTTTCCTGTCCTAGTTGATGCCACTAGAAATGATGATCCTCAGGTAAATTCATGTAAAAGAATGCTGTGATTATGTCAGTGCTAGAGATTTATTAGTGCCAATAGTTAAAAAAAGAATAATGGGTGCTATATAGCAGTGATGGAAAGTATATATGTGATGGATGGGGTATATAGGTGTACAGCATATACCTGTGCACCTCTCAGTTTCCAAGTGTTTTTAGTTAAATATCTGTATTATTGGAGATATTTATTAATTGTCTTTTATGTTTCTACAAATTAAAATGCAGTAACTTGTTTATTTGTTATAATTATGACGTGCTTCCTTGTGATCCCTGAACATATATCCTGGATATACCCAGTCCCTTCACTGGCTGTGAGTAGTCTATACCAAAATGCTGTGTATAGAAGAGTTATTAAAATTACCCGTGTTGTGGAGCAAATCAGCCTGAGGACCAAATGTCTTTTCATCAGCAAGAATACAAGAGAATAAAGAAAATTATGTTTTTGTTTGTCAATGTTAAGAATTAGATTATTACACAATTTAAATAGTTCCAAACAAAAACTTAACATAGAAAACACACATTTAAATATTTGTGAGCATATTATGTCCCAATGTAATAGGTACCAATACTGCATGATTAGATTATCTTGTCGAAATAAGCACAGGTTGTGCATTACCTCATATTTTGTTATAAGGTTTGGGCATATTAGCTTTCCACTTGGCAACTGTAAGCTGCCTGGTGGTTGTCATTGGGTACAAGTCATGTTGGCGACTTTGGAATAAGGTCAGTGAGACACGTTTAATCAAATAATTTCTTCAGTGCTCCACTTGGAAAACAAAGCTAAAAATATTTCACGTATTTTAAATTATTGGCATTAATTTAAGTAAATTACTTCCATGTTATTTTCTCAATGTGTGTTCAGAAGTTGCTAGAAAACATTTGTTGCTAGGAGTCGAGCAACTGTATACACAGGATGGGTTGTTCCCCTCAGTCTTAGACCACAAGACACACTCCCTCCACACTGGACAGAATGGACAGTTTTGGACTCTTAAGGACACAGAATGGACATTCCTTCATCCTCAGAACACAGGACAGTCCCCCCCTCCCTCAGGATACAAGGCAGTCCCACCCCCTCAGGACAGTCCCACACCTCAAAACTCTGGACACTTCCACACCCTCAGGACACAGGACAGTCCCACACCCTCAGGACACGGGACAGTCCCGCACCCTCAGGACACAGGATGTGCCTCGTCTCACAAACCACACAAACCTCTATTCATCATATGTGCTCTTCATCATGATCGTATACATCCATGATCATTTAATTTCATCATTACTGTATATGCATTCTTCATCACCATTGTGTGCATTCATCACCATATGTATCATTCATCATATGTACATTATTCATCACCATTTTGTACATTTATCATTACATCATTATGTTGGCCATATTCTTTATCACATCATTAATCATGTATGTTTGTCATTGCATACATTCACCCTCATCATCATGTATATATCTCATTATAAGCACTATGAATATTGTCAATCTAAACATTCACAGTAAACAATCAAAGCATATTCCTATAAGCTGTTTTCTCATCTAGTATATTTATCGTTCCTTGTGTGCACGAGGGACCCCAGTTACCATTCCTGTGTGTGGAAATATGTACCACAGCTCACTAGCCCCTATCCTGCATGGAACAATGTAATGCAACTCAATAGACCCCATCAACAAATAATTCAGACAAGACAAAAAGATTTGCAAAAAATCCCATCCCATCCTAAGTCTATTGCAATGTTTATCATTCATATGACAACATTTAAATCTGGTAACAATTAGACAGCCGTTTCTTCCCTGCTTGACTAACAGCAGGTTGTAAGCTAACACCTCATTGACTGCTCTGCATTATAACTACAGTACTAACTGAGGAATAAGCACACCTTTAACCAAGTGTCATTCACTTTCATGCAGTCTATTATCATATATACCACAGAAATGTCTTCAGTTTATATTGTTAAGTGTGAGAACCGCGTCAAGCCCCGGATAAGGTTATTTGTAAAAGGATGCATATCATATGTTTGAGGGTTATTTAGTACTGTACATATAATAATGACCAAGTTTATAATTCATTTTGTCGAGGACAGGCAACCTGTATGTATGTATATACAGTATAATATATACATACATACAAACGGTACTGAAACTTCCCAGGATGCAACCCCACAGAAAGGTGACTCCTGGGTATCTATTTAT